AAACAGTATCCTGGGGTTGTTCATGTTAGTGTGAATGGTTGTAGACTCTGGTCACTGTGGCTCCAATATTTCACAACAAAACATGTTTCAAGCCTGTCTTTAAAGCTAAATTCACTACAGCATGACGATTGTCGGACACAGTCGGTTGTGCTCAATTTGACCAGCAGACGTGCAAAAATGAAAATCAAAGCAGCTTACTGTATTTGGTTAATTTTCAGTAATGTACAAGAAATACGATTTAAAACTGCGATCCTTCACACATCCTTCACAGACTAACTCTCTGACCACTAGACCAAGTCACTTGAGGTGCATTATGTCCTGACCTGTCCTTAGGAGTCAGTCGGTCGGTCAGTAGGTTCTGACCTGCACTATGTTTACTGTAACCCTTGTTGGTTTGGACTCCTGTTGCCATGGTGACTCCAGCTCATATCTCATCACCACTGACTTATCAAGGTTGACAGCAGCAGCAGTTTTGATTGATAGCTAAATGTCGAATAAGAATTTTGTGTTGAAGGGGCGGGACAACTGTCCATTTATCGTGGATCAAAATGGAAGCAGATTTGCTGAGCGACCTTTGTCGTGGTGCCTTGTAGAACCCTGGTTTAACAGCTAGCAACGTGCTAGCAATGTCAGATGTTTTGAAAGATCCACTGCCTGAATATGAAACACCTGTCACAGGAACAGTTCGCTGGAACAGTTTCTTAATGCCTGAGCAGTCGTAGTGACTCATGAATCAGGAAGCAGATTCTCCCAGAGCTGCAGACAGGCGTTCATGTTCTCAGGCGTTTAATTTCACTTTTATCAGCCCTGGATTTAATTATGGCGTCTGAGCCGCTGACAGTTTTGTCATTTTCCCTCCACCGGCCCTTTAAATTCCTCACTGTTCTTCAGCTGATGCCTTTCACTGATATCACTTTCCTCATCTATTAGCCTGTCATGTCAATTTGTAGGAGGAGCCTTGATGAACAAGCAGAAGCTGCGGCCCACTAACAGCCCCTGACATCGTCATTTATTCCGGGCTCTGACTCCTGACTCCCACGTCTCCGCCGCCGTTCTCATTAAGCAGACGACCAGGTGTTTTCTTCCATCTGTGAGGAAACGCTCGTCAGCGTGCATGTCCTCATCCTCTGCACGTGGACAGGATCTCTGCTGAAACTGAACCGATTGGATGGGACTGAGGATCAATATGAGGTTCAGTCACAGACAGTTTCAGTTCCTGGTCAGGGTTAGGGCCGACCCAACAACAGTTTATTAATCTGAACTCTGCTGAGTGACTGTCAAAGTCTGAGAGACTGTTGTTGGTTTAGATTTAAATACGGACCACTGTGAGAAAAATGATCAGGAAGAAAAAATGTTTAACCAGTGGAAATAGATTTAGATTAACATAAAATAAAGTGCCACACAACATGGTTAAACGTTAGGAACTAAAACTGAAGGTTAGTCAAAACAAAACAACTGTGAATTAGGCAACAACCCAGCACAGCTAACAGCTAACGTTAGCCACAACATTATCAGAACATGGTCAGGAAAATTGGTAAAAAAAAACAAACAAACAAAAAAAACAAAAAAACAACTTGCTGTCAGCACAAAACTGCTACAAATTATAATTAAATTATTTTATAAACATTATTCACAATTCAAAGAGAATGTGCAAAAATGGTTTAATTGTAATTTAAGCTAAAGGCTAAAGTGGAAGGACAGTAAATAATCCAACAGTTAGCCCAGAGAGAGTGAACAAAATGGTGGTCGCATTAATGAAAACAGAACAGCTTCATTCTCTGTTCTCTCTGTCAGCTGACCGTGGTCTGAGTCCCAGAGGTAAAATCTTCATCTCCTCCTCTGATTCCCTCTTCTATCTGCCGTGTAATTGGTGATTTCAGCGACCACCTGAGACCCCCCCGGACCCTCGGGAAAAAAGAGAAACAAAGGAAAGAGAGGAGGCAGGGGCAGCGGGAGATGAGATTCTCTTTCTCCACATCTGCTCCTTGAAGCCAGACGGCATTTTTGTGAGTTTAAAAACGCAAACACACACACACACACACACACATGCACATTGGTTTTTGCTTTTCAAAAACCCTGATGATGAATTTGTCCCAGATTGTAGAAGTAGACACTGACAGTCCCCTCCTCACCCAGTCATTATCTCCCCCCTCCTCACACTTCTGATGTGGAATATGAACTTTTACGACCTTCATACAAATCCACAGCCTGGTGTCACAGCACAGGGAGCTGCAGCTGCAGCAGCAGTGCACTCCTATTAATAGTTCACACTCATCGAAGTGTTATCAGAAATTCTAACTTCAATAATCCTGGATTACGGAGCAGATATTCAGTTAGATTTGGCTGAAACCATTTCCTGAGTCCAGGCTTTAACCACTGAGCCACAGTGTGGTCCGAAGCAATGACAAAATCCCAACGATGGTCTGCAGCCGCAGAGCTGAGAAGATTCAGATGTTTCACAGAGCAGAGCTGAGGTCACTGAGGTCACTGAGGTCAATGAGGTGTATAACTAACACAGAGCAGGACTGAGCTGCTAATGTTAGCATGTTAGCCAACAGGCTGCATCATCACACTGAGTGCACCTCTACAGCCACAGTGTGTCACTGTTGTGTTCCTGCAGTACTGTTGATGTTCTCAGAGCTTTGTCGTTTCCTGTCTGCCTTTTATCGACTTTCTTTCACACGTCTGATGTTTTTTTTTAATCTTTACCGTTTTATTTGTCACCTTTTTTGTGACAAATAATAACTGTAAGACTTTGAACTCACAGCTTTTGTTGAATCATTTTCATGATTACAGATTTGTGGACAAACCTCCAGCTGTTGTTTTGTCTTGAAGCTGATGAATGTTTGACTAAAAGAATTGGACAAACCTCTGGACTCACATGCTGCTTCTTCCTTTCATTGTTTGCGTTTAACTAGCCGTTGACTAGCTGTTGACTAGCACCTTCCTTTCATTGTTTGCGTTTAACTAGTCGTTGACTAGCTGTTGACTAGCGCTTGACTAGCCGTTGACTAGTTGTTGACTAGCTGTTGACTAGCGTTTAACTAGCCGTTGACTAGCTGTTGACTAGCTGTTGACTAGCTGTTGACTAGCTGTTGACTAGCTGTTGACTAGCTGTTGACTAGCTGTTGACTAGCTGTTGACTAGCTGTTGACTAGCTTGAGGCTCTGTTGTTGTTTTCCCACTACATTAGCTGCTACAGTTAGCTTCCTGCTAATTAATTAAAGACAGTTGAAGCAGAAACCTGTGGGACGTTCTCCTCCTGGTGTGGATCAATGATACTGTATGTACGTGTCAAAGTCTAAAAGCTGGAGCTGAGCCACAGAGGAGTAATGAGTCCCTGGCCCAGAGGAGGAGCAGCCTGAGGAGGTGAAGATGCTGCCACGCTCTCCAGACGTTACTGTCGGCCGTAAATTACGTTTAAGAGAGACTGAGCTCTTACCTGAGGTGGGATTTGTTTATTAGGAGGAGATGCTGTGACATACACATGACGCTCACACACACAGCAGACACTTCTGTTTTTTTCCATTTAGTAAACCTTAGCTGAGAAGGACGGAGAACATGGAGCAGTAGACGACCTCCAGGGCAGAGGTCATGAAAGGTCGAGGTGAGGTGATGAAAGCAGAAAGTTAAAAAATGGACCTCAGGAAATCTTTTTACTAAAATGAAATTCCATAAAGACAAACTTTACATTTTAGTCGTCTGATGTTGAATGTTTTGATTTTTTTAAATGTTTTTTTCAACTTGTTTCACTTACACATATTAGGAATTAGCACCTAGCTCTTTCCTGCTATCCTTCAGTAATCTTTCTAACAGTGTATATTTTTGGGAGTTTTCCAAAATATATAATACATGTTTAAAAATATTTCTGTGATGATATGTGTACTACAGTATCAGAGGACAAAGTACCAGTACTTTCCTTTGCTCTGCCTGATTTGCACCTTCACAGCGTAACAATATGATTTACGCTGCTGAATCGGTGAAGGATCTGTGGTGGAGCGAAGGCGCCGTCACTGCTCCCTCCGGTGTTTTCTCCTCTAATCTGTTATTGTTTACGGTGCATTTGTGGCACTGAACTCAGAGCAGTGGAGGATGGAACTCAGGGAAGAACTCATCTTTCCATCCCATTTGTCCATCAGACTCACCTGGACTCCCTGTGATAATTACAGCAGAACCTCAGGCAGAGCACAGAATCCCTGCAGCAGCTTCTGTCCTCGGGTCGGTCTGTGGGTGAGAGTGCTGAAGTAAAAACATCCCACCAGTACTGCACAGATGAACCGGCTACAGGGCCACGCCCCAGAACTCCTTCAAGCTGCTCCTGTCTACGGAAAATATCGTTTTATTTCCTGGTGCTACACTATGTTAGCTAGCTAGCTCGATGGACGGAGGACGGATGGACGATGGATGAATTGCTAAAATAGAAAACTCGTCATTTTGTGGTTCCATCATTTTCAAACTGATCCTCAAAGACCGTGAACCTGAATTCATCCCTAAACAGTTACAGAGCCACTAATGCTGAGTTTATTGTTGTAAAAAATGTAATACACTTGGCTCCACAGCCGTGAACATTTTGTATAAGGAATTAAAGTAGAAATATAGGAGTAGAAACTGTCTGGTCAACAGTGGAACAGTGGAACGTTCCAAATATTTCACTGCATAAATAATTCCTCTTTAAACTGCGACAGCTGTGAAGTCTGGAGGAGACGGAGTCCATGTGGAAACCAGATGACTGCAGCTCAGAGATAAGTGTCGGCAGGAAATGACTGTGACGGTGTGTGGGGTCAGAGCTGGACGCAGAGACCACCAGACACTAACGTTGGAGCTGAGGAATATTTAGAGGAGAAAAATCTGCTGCGTTTTTATCACCGTGAGGACGCCAGTGAGAGAGAGACGCTGCAGAGACACGGCGATGTCCATCAGTAATATCCTTCACCAACAGAAACACTGACTCTGTGTGTGTGTGCGTGTGTGTGTGTGTGGGGGGGGTGAGGGGAGGGGAGGGGGACGGTGGAGGCTGAGTAATTGCACGATGTTTGTCCCGTGAGATGAGGAGTCATCACACTTTCCTTCTTACCCTCCTCCTGCAGATGACCTACACCACCCCTTCACACACACACACACACACACACAAACACACACACACACTCAGTTTCATGCTGCTCTCCCCCCAGAAGTGACACGATCTGGTCGTTCAGTCTCAGCATCTTCACATTGATTCACCTATAATCACTATATACAGTATATCAATGATGTGTGTGTGTGTGTGTGTGTGTGTGTGTGTGCATGGATGTGACACGCTCTGTTTGATCCTCAGGCTTGTTCTCCTGATCTGAGGATCTGTCACCTTCAGGTCGATGTATGGAGCTGCTGGAGGAGATGATGAAGGAGGAGGAGGAGGAGGAGGAGGAGGAGGAGGAAGAAGGTGTCTGTTCTGACCTGCGTTTAGATGATGCTCACCCCAGCCTTCAGTGTGTGGTGTGGTCCAGCCCAGCAGAGGTGACCAGTGTGGGAAACAAGTGGAAGTGATCCTGAAGTAGAGGTCTACAGACTGTCTGGGTCTGAGAGTAGTCTCAGTGTCAGACATCTGTGGTCCGAGGTGGGACTGATGTCCAACTGTCCCGGTGCCTCAGTGTGAACTGATATTCCAGACTTCCACCGTGGTCTCGTCCTGGTGTCGTTGACTGTGACCACAGCCGTCAGCTGCTCCTCTTTGTTTCTGTTCCACTGGTCGGTTTCATCCGTCATCGAGACAAAGTCATAAGAAGAAGTGAGATGACCTGCCGTCGTCCCTTACCATGAGGTTAACAAAATAATCCATAATCCATAATCTAATCCAACCAGTGTTTGACACAAATCTATTGGTACGAAGTTGAATTGAATTCGAATTTGTATTTTGGTTGAAAATTACATTTTAGTGGTTCCTTCTCCCTCCTCTGTGTGTGTGTGTGTGTGTGTGTGTGTGTGTGTGCGCGGTATATAAGGACAGACGCGGCTGCTCAGCAGCGGCAGTTTGCATGTGAGCAGACACGGAGAAGGACTGGACTCGAACGCAGTCTCGGACTTGAGTGCGTTTCTGTCTGCTTTGGATCTGCGGACGCGCGTGGCGTCGCGCTGATGACCCGTGGACGTGTCCACAGGAGACCTGGGATTATGAGGATCGGAGCCGGAGCGGAGTTTCTGTGCCGACACTGAAGCCTCGCAGCTGGATTCGGACTTGTTCTCTGTGGTCCTGCTTTGTTTTCCCCGGTTGTGTGGAGATGGGGATCCTGGACCGGAGGAGCAGAGCTTCTCTGGCTCTCACCTTGAACTTCCTGGCCCTGTTCCTGGCCGTGTGCGCGCTCAGCACCAGTTACTGGTGCGAGGGGACCCGTAAGGTGGTGAAACCTCTGTGCAGCGGTCCAGCGTCGGCCGGGAAACAGAAGTTCTGCATCCGCTTCAACAGCTCCAACCTGAACGACAGCAGACTGGTCCAGTACATCTGGGAGACAGGGGAGGACAAGTACGTCCTCAGGAAGTTCCACACCGGCATCTGGTTCTCCTGCGAGCAGAACATCAACATGAGCGGTACTCTGGGTTTTATTATTATAGAACATACATTTAATTGAATGTGGTAATAATGACCATCCAATGTACTGTAAATATATATATGGATGTAATAATAATAGGTTTAATAAATATGTCAAAAATGGTTTTTATACAACAAATACAACAAGAATTATAGATTTCATATATAAAATACTCATAAATACTGACCATCAGAATATTGCACAGATTCAACATGGATATATTTACACAACCGTGATGAGAATACTGACCAAATATTTCAAAGGTTAAATCAGATTATTGCACAAATACTGACCAGAATATTACAGAGTAGAATAAGAAAATACTCAAATATTGACCCGTAGTTGTAATAACACTGACTGTCAGATGGGGGAAGTTGTAATAACACTGACTGTCAGATGGTTAAAGATGTCAAAGAGTCCGATGATCCGCTGCAGAAGTTTGGTCTCCAAACTGACAGAACACTTATTTTGAAAACCTTGGACTAATATATTTCAGTTTAAACATTGAATTATGGGTAACTTTCAAACCGTAAACAAAAATAAACAAAAGCGTCCAGGCTCTGCTCCAGTCCAGACCGTGGATCCTGGAGTAAGTGTCAGTGGGTTCTGGCTCAGCAGACTGGGAGGTGGTGCTGGAGGTGACGGTGGCGGTGAGAGCTGGTTAATCACACGGAGCTCACAGTCAATCCCTTCACACACTGGATTAGAGGTGGATTATCTTTGATTATCCCAGGGTTATCTTTGTCAAGTGGAATGTTGTACCTGGATTAATCAGGACGTTACAGTCTGTCCCACAGTCCCACTAACAGTAACAGCACCACTAACAGTAACAGCACCAGTCATGTCTGAATTTTTTTTTCTTACAGGTGAAAAGTGCAGAAGTTTCCTTTACGTCGCTCCTCCAAATGAACGAGGTAAGAACCAATCAGAGGATTCTTTTAAAGAACTCATAGCTAACCTTTAGCCATTTTATTATATGTACTGCGAGGCTAACATCTAGCTCTTATGTTCATGGCTTAGCTGGTCTCAGAAGAGGGTGAACTGGTGACTACTAACTAACCAGTAACTCTGTTGGTCACAGTCCACAGATTCTCTAAGGGAACAGCCCAGACCAGCCGTTTGATAAATGTACTTCCCATAATGCCTTGGGGTGATGTATGTTTTTGAACTTTGTGGTGGAGCTCAGGAACCTCAGCAGGTCTCCGTCCTCACCTCTGTCAAGGTTAATGATGCTGGTGAGGAGATCACTGGTCCACGCTCCTGGACTCCTTCTCCTCCTCTCCTCTTCCCTGTATCCCGCCTCCTGCGTCCTCATCCCTGTCTTCTTCATTCGTCCTTGCTTATCTTATGCCTCCTCCCCCCTCGCTCCCTCTCTCTCCTCCTATCTCTGAACTCCCTCCATCATTATCCAGCCGGGCTCCTCTCTCAGCTCCTATCATGAATACGTCTCCCTGGTTTTTTCCCACTCTTTTATCATTTTGCTCCTCTTTGCATTTCTGCCTCAGTGGGACGACGGCGGCTCTGCATACATTTCAGCCTGTGTCTGCCTGAGTCAACATTATTCTCAGATGGTGTTTGTCCCTTATCTCCCTGTCAGATGGAGATTTTCTGACTGCAGACCAGAGTTTGGGTCACTTTGTCACTGCGTGTCCTCCGCCTGCAGCAGAGTCCACAGATAAGATCTGTGGTTTCAGATCACAGGAACACAGAGTCTTTGATGTACTGCTGCTTTCAAATTAAAAAGTCTTTGTGTTATAAGTTTATGAATGTGACAAACCTGAGTGACATAAACTGACCACAGGGGGCAGCATTACACGAGGTGCTGTTTTTTTTCCTATGAGGTTTGGTGCGGAGAGACGTCGTCAATGATCTTTGTCTTTTTCATTTTCTTGCAGGAGTTCTATGGCTGTGCATCGTCGCAGAGTGTCTGTACATTCTCCTCTTGGCCACCGGGGGCATCCTAATGTCCATAGAGGTTTGCCAATTTGGAAACGTCATTGACGGCCTCAAGCTCAACGCCTTTGCTGCCATATTTACTGTTCTGTCCGGTGAGTTGTCCTGCACTCTGACAGACACTGCACACAACGAAAATAAGAGTTAGCTTAAAGCTAGCACATGATAACGAATAATGATAACATCAACCGGAAATGTGTGAAAAGGTTAATATTATCTCTGTCTATCTCTGTAATGAGATAGTGAAAATAGGCTAAAAAGATGAATATGGTTTAGGAAATTAGAGCTAAGGGTTAGCCACAAATCAGTCTTAAATCAGTACACGTTAATGAAATGTTAGTAGCTTAAATCAGCTAAAAGTCGTCTTTAAGATAGACATAGCTTAACCCTAAATATTAAACTAAAAGTTAGATCAGATGAAGTGAACCAGGTACTGCAGTACCAGCTGCTGTGTGTACTGCAGTTTTCCACCATAACTCCCGTCCTCCACCATCACCAGGGGAATCATTTACGACCACTGCTCCATTTAGGTTTTCCATAGAAAATCGTAGGAAACGTTCTCGTGTCCCAGTTTTGTTGTGGACATGCGTGGAGAAGAACAAAACCAAGTGTCCCCGGGCTGTGTCCCCGTGTGTCCCCGGGCTCAGGAACCAGAAGGTCCAAATGGACAGACTCAGAGTCAGCAGATAAAGTTCAGTCCATCCCCGTGGGTTTCACCTTTCTCTGCACCGACACTGATCTCAACATGTTCAGACTTTGCTGAGCCGCGGGCTGGATATTGATCTGTTCAGATGTTTGGGATTTTCTTCACTTCTGGAAAATGCTTTGATTTCAGATAAGATACAAAGTCGTCAAAACCTGCTTTGATCTCTTTGACATGAGAGGAAATGGAAAGGCAGAATTCTTAACGCCGTTTCCTCCGTCTTTAGCTTGGCCACTTCTTTAGGTACAGCCGGTAACATTCTTTCACTCCATGTCTGAATGTTTTTAATTTAACATTTTAATTTAACATGGATTTTAGAAGGAATTCTTAACTTTCCTGGGAAAACCGTAGCATCGGGAATGTGGGCTCCATCTTCTCTCTGTGAATCACACTCTGTATCTGTGGGCAGCATATCTGAGCCAAACCCAAACCTTTCCTGTCTGATTTACTTCTCCAGAGTATTAGCACCACGTTCAGGAGAATAAAGTGGTAAATTTACCAGAGCGAAGTCCAAAGTTTACGAGAACAAGGTCGAACATTTTATGTCAAAAGTACCAGAATAGAGACAAACTTTGTAAGTTAGTGACGATAAAGTGGGAAATTAATTGTCTTGGAGCCAGAGTGAGGTTTTCAGGCAATGGATTTTTCTAAAAATTGTGTTGAGTCATCATGACATCAAAAATGAGACATTTCATCAGGTTAAACCCATAAAGTCCGGGACGTGACCCGGACGGTGTGGTCCACCTGTGGGCTCTTTATGTTGTGGGTCTAGTCCACAGTAGTTGACGGCTCCTCTTCCTCTCAGGCTTCACTGAGCCCTGCTTTCATCAGCCCAGTTCTGGCGTTCTGCCCGCTGTAAGTCTGACGTCCGGGCCAACAGTCTGATGTTTCATTTATACTGTGTCTCTGCTGAAGTGAACTCTTTGCATAAATGAGAAGCTGAAGTCGACTGTAGGAAGTTGACAGCCGGGGCAGACCGTCCTGTGACGAGTCCTTCCCTGTTTTGACATTTTAGTTGTTTGATTCTGATGGCAGACGTTTCAAAAACTCGCCAAGAATAAGGCTTTTCTTGTCTTTAATCAGCTTTAGACGGGCTTTTATCTGTGAAAAATGATGTCTGTCTTCCAAGTAAACCAATCCATCTCCCTCACCAAACGCCATGGAGAAAATGAGAGATTAAAATCACAGCACACGGGAGCCGCTGCGCCGCTGCTCTCTGCTCCTATTGGTCCAAAGTGTTTTTGTCTGAATTGGATTAAAATGTTGATTTTCTCTGTGGTTCAGGAGTTTCTAGAATAATATGTTTAAACTTAGGCCAAAACACAGAAACAAAGTTTAACAAAGTTATTCATTAGAGTTCATTTGAAGAATTTACCTCCTGAAAATAATGTTATTGTTCCACTGAGTCTCTCAGGCCAAAACACACAGAGTTTATCTGTGATTTAAAGTTGATCTAGTTCTAAACGCTGTTCCCCGCACTTTAAAGCTGTAATAAAATGTGTTTCTGTCTGACTTTGCTGTTTTAAAATCCTTAGTTTACCCTAACTTTGTAAATGAGCATCCCTAACGTACCAGCTCGAGTGAAATTAAAAACAAAACTTTGATTTCCTCCATGGACTTTGGTGCAGTAGTTTGAAAAGTTTGGTTTTTATATGAACAAACATTTTAACTTATTTTATCTCTTAATGAGTTCCCCAGGGTTTAAAGAATGGATTTGTAAAATTTGTTATAGCTAAAAAAAAAAGTGTTTTTGTTGCTTTGTCTTCCAGACCAAACACCATAGAGAAAAGCTCTAGTTTTTAAACAAAGCCCAGAAAACTTGTTGTTGTTCCCTCATTGCCTCTGTCCATCATCTCAGATATATGATATATTTCGACTCACATGTTTGAAATCTTGTTTGTATTTACCCTGGTGGCAGAAATGTGTCAAACAAAACAGCAGTGGACCAGTGGATCCTCTGTTGTCTCTAAGCTAAAAACACTCATTTTCTCTATGGACTTCTGTACAGCGGAAAGAGTTGTTTACAAATTTAAGCTCCAAAAGAAAAAACTGTCTGCAACAGGAACCATTTTTTAAAAGCTTGTTCTGGCACCGATTCTTCCACAACAAACTCCGTAGAGAAAACTCTTAATTTTTAATTAGCGCTCAGAAAAGGTTTATGTGGCCATTGTTTCCTTATCTATCATTTCAGACGTGCTATCTGGTGACTTTAGTGTTTGAAATATGTTGATGGTATTTTTCCCAGTGCTACAATGTTATCCAACAAAGCAGGAGTGGAACCAGCAGCTGCTCTGTCCCTGTGAGCTAAAAGCACTCATTTTCTCTATGGACTTCTGTGCAGCACAGTGACTTGTTTATCCACGGTAGGAAGACGTGTGTCTGAAACAGCAGACATTTCTGCAGCAGCTTTTTTAACAGCGCACCCTGGAGGGCTGACTTCACAGAGATGGAAGTCATTTAAATGTTGTTTCTTCTTTTAACGCAGTGAGTGTTGATGGGTAATTAGGTCCAGGAGCCTGAGATTAACCTTGATTACATCTGTCACTCATCGTCAAGTGCATGCTGGGACCTTGATGGAGAGGTGGAGCAGGGACAGAGTGACGGAGGCGACTTTTCTGTTGGAGGACGAACGTTTTACGGCTAGTGATTAAATTTACAGTTTCAGTCAAATTCAGTTCCTCCTTCAGTCGGTGTTAAATCACTGGGCTGTGAGAGGAAAAGGGGACGCAGGGTGGCTTTTATGGCCAAACACAACATTTTGACGTCTTTTGGACAATTGGTACCCAGAGCAGGAACAGCAACAACGACGACTTCCTCTGGTAATTAGAACAAATCTATAAAAGCAGCTATATAAAATACTGAAACCTTACGAGGCGACGGTTGTATCTTAGAAGATGAAGAGAATGAAACAACCACTGATGTCACTGTGACGTCTTTTTAGTCACAGAAAAATACTTTAAAATATGTTTTCTACCAAAACATCTGCCCTCAATGTCACACACCTGAAGTAAAACCCTTTGGAAAACGGATAAATAATTATTGTGATTTTTTAATTACTTTTTCAGGAAACTTAGTGATAACTAAGAATAAAACTGTGGTTCTTGGGTCAAAAGTCGTCCATTAATCTGCCTTTTTGTTGCTGTGGGTTGAAACATGAATCATGAAGTTGGTGTCAAGTCCGAAGTTGTTTTTGCAGACCACCTTATATAAAGCAGCAGTGCCACCCAGTGGTAGTTTACGGTAACTGCAGCCAATGTGCTCGATCATTTTCTCCTAAAAGTGGATTCATTTATCAACAGTAGAATATGATCAGAACGAGTCAACGATGATGTTAAGAAGTGCATCTAACGGAACAAAAATATATTGATTCTTACATCTGTAAAATGCATGAAAAATTAATCTAACTCAGATTCCAGATTTTCCAGTCCACATTTCTTCTGTGTTTGGGTCAGGTCTACTAGGGATGGTGGCCCACATGATGTTCACCACAGCTTTCCAGCTGACCGTCAGTCTGGGCCCAGAGGACTGGAAGCCTCAGTCCTGGGACTACAGCTGGTCCTACATGTGAGTTTGTGCACATCACACTACAGTACTACAGTACTACAGTACAACAGTACCACAGTACCACAGGACCACAGTACCATATGACCACAGTACTACATCACTACAGTACCACAGTACCACATCACTACAGTACTACAGTACCACATTACCACAGTACTACAGTACCACAGTACCTCAGTACCACAGTACTACAGTACCACAGGACTACAGTACTACAGTCCCACAGTACTACAGTACTACAGTACCACATCACTACAGTACTACAGTACCACATTACCACAGTACTACAGTACTACAGTACTACAGTACCACATTACCACAGTACTACAGTACCACATTACCACAGTACTACAGTACCACATTACCACAGTACTACAGTACCACAATACTACAGTACTACAGTACAACAGTACCACAGTACCACAGGACCACAGTACCATATGACCACAGTACTACATCACTACAGTACCACAGTACCTCAGTACCACAGTACTACAGTACTCGTTCATACCGAGGTCCACAGAGAAAAGTGATGATGTTGTCCATGTCCCAGCAGCAGCTGCTGATGCTCCACTGTCTCCTTCTGTCAACTCAGATGTGTGGTTTGTCTCTTCAGTCGTGAAAGACACTTTGTTTAAAGTCACTGAAATGGAAAGGTTTTTTTTTCTGTGGAACTAAGAAGGTCATAATCAACTCCTCCTAACCTGCCTCTGTGCCCTTTAGCCTGGCTTGGAGTTCCTTCACTGCCTGCATGGCCTCCTCCGTCACCACCATCAACCGCTACACCAAAACCATCCTGGAGTTCAAGCACAAGCGACGGAACATCGAGAAGAACCTGAAGATCAAGCAGAAGCTGCTGGAACTGGACTCTCCGGAGCAGGTGTGGGACATGTACATCAGCTCGGTGCCCAGCACCGCAGAGGAGCTGCTGGATCTGTCCTCTAGTGGGCGCAAACTCTCCGACACCTCCATCTTCCTGGACCTCAACGACCTGCCAGAACCACAGGTGGAGGAGTACTGCTAGAAGAGCCAGAGCAGGAGAACAGTGTGGTCAGACATTCTTCTGCTAATGTCTGCTCTAACATCTCAGACCTGGACCTCAACTGAACAGATGAACGTCTATTGTCAACTATAGCACACCCTAGTGGGCGTTAGGCCTCATGTTTTACTGCCTGTTGGACATCACGGGCCTTTAGCTGCAGATACACGTACTGTACTTGAACCAGGCCAGTATTTGTGACCGTGTACTGGTACTTGATCCTGGAGCTGTGTGACACTGCCTCCAAACCAGAGGCAGAGGTTTCATTGGTTTAAAGGAAAAGTTCCATTTTTATTCTTTTGTTAATTTTGATTCTCTCAGCCCTGACCTGAACAGTATAACTGATGTTTTAGAGTGATGTTCGCTGTGTTTTTAACGTCAGTTCAAACGTTTATAAAGTACTCCTTGTCCTGCACCAAACCCCATGAAGAAAAGAGACACAGGAACCAATGTTCTACGGCTGCCTTGGTTGTCCAGCGTGAACAGAGATTTTGAAAAAAAAAACAATTTTGTGCAATAAAGAAACGTTCCATTTTATTTATTTTTTTGTAAAAGGAAAAAAAAAGTTGTGATATTTGTTTTAATTTGTTTGCATGAACCGTGACGTCACAATGACCGTTTGACAAGACTGCAGGTGATGATAATAGTCATGATATATTAGATAATACATTTGTTTGTGTGTTCAGATGATGATGAGTTTTTCTGTAGGTGAGGAAATTAAAACTTTTAATAATCTGTATTATTTGTTTTTTATTTATTTATCTTTTTAATTTGAAGTATTTCCCCCTCTTTCTGTAAAGGTCACTGAGGCTGTCAGCTGGTGCTGAGTGCCTTTCCTTCCAACAGCATCTGTGATCAGACCAACAGAGACAACAATTGTAAAACTGCCAAAAACCTGACAGTGGTGGGAGTACAGTGTCCACGTGTACTTTATTGTAATTTCTGAGTTTCTAAAATCTTTTCCTGTTTTTAAGTAGATCGTGGTTTGTCCATTCATGCCGTTTTCAAACGCGACACTGTTCGTATTAGGTTTGCTGATTTTAAATGAATTTAAAAGCATGTGCTTTCCTCGTCCTGTGTGTGTGTGCGCTACAGTAAGCTGTTGCTTTGTAAGTATTTGTGCGTTGATATTTGCGTTCTGATGTGTTGAAATGAGAGTCAAACTTTCGACTAGAAGTTTAAGTTAAAGACTAAAATATTGGAGAAAATTATATAATAAACAAATGTTTTCTGATTTCTGGTGAACGTATTACAAGTTTATCATTCATTGTCCAAAAGGGGGCGACGTTGCGCTGCAGTCTCTTCAACCGCTGTACAAACACAGGGCTTTTATAATTAAATCGCAATACGGATACTCACCAAGATTGAGTTTGTTATATTTGTACACATTTTATACATATATTTATACATACATAAATTAAAACCATGCACATAATGGGGGCTGTTAATTCAGCTTTTTGGTCTCCTGATTTTATAGCAATTGTTAGCATGTTAGCATAAACGGAAACAGCTTGGGTTTAAAAAAACAGAAAACGATGCAATCATCCTAACGAGTGGAGTTGAACCCAGAACCCTCTGCAAGACAAGCAGGGAACTTGTCACTTTAGTTCAGTATACGTAGCACACCTGCAAGAAACAAAAAACACAAACCTGTTCCTTGCATAGTTGTACATGTCACAGTGAACATATATTAGTTAGCACGTTAGCTTAACATTTAGCAAACAGAATACAGCATGTGTTTGGCTGAGAGAGTCAGTATCTGAGGGGATATTTAGGAAGAGCTTTTAGTGTCAAAACGTTTTCATGGAGAAATTCAAGCTTCTTCAGCACAGTCGATGGTGTTTAAGGTCACAGAGCCAGACGACTGCAGGACACCCTGACCAGTGTTGGACCAAAATGTTCCTGTTGTTCTGACGGTGCTGTGTGACCGGGGAGGACAGAGACATGGTTGAAGTTGATCAAGGTAAGGGGCAACAGGTCACACACCTCTTTATTGTCTCTATTTATAATTTTAGATTGGCTGTCAAATGTATTTTAATTAAGAATAAAACTTAAATGAGGTCTTTCTGACAATTGTATCTTGTAAAGCCATTTTTTAAGTACAGGCTCTAATATAGTCAAGACTGTGTAAACAAACTGTGGGCCACACCTCAGCCAGTTTGGACCTGTCTCTGTTTTAACACGTTTGATAGAAATTACAGTATGCACCACATGGTCTGATATGGACTGTGTATGTGGGCCACGTATACTGTATATGCTGTGTGACTACATGTGCAGTGTAGAACTGGGAGACTGCAGTTTCCAAATAAGTGACAACATCCATTATTTATTAATAGACTGTGGTAGAAATGAAGAGTGCAGATTTGTTTGTTATGCTTAAAAATACTTTTATTTTATGCTTTCAAACTAGTGCAAATACATGCAAACTGAAAACAGACGACCCTGTAAAAGCTGGACACTAACACAGTCAAGCCTCAAAGCTTTAAACATCATCTCCTTACAAGTGGATGACCACTGGTTAGACCCACTCTGGTTTTTGGTCGCCCTCCAGTGGTCCTCCAGAGGTCCTGGTTCATTTTTTATTCACATCTCACTCCTGGTACAGCACAGCGTGTGTGGTTTTGCAGGTTCAGTCAAATGTGTAAAGACAGAAGAAGCTGCCAACGCGGGGAGGTAGGTGGGGGGAGATGCCGAGTCACCCGCACCAGTTCCTCGACATGCATTTATCCACATTCATTATTCAGGAATACAAAACCACTCAGTCAAATCTGAGCTGCTGGGACGATTCTCTGCTGCTCCTCGGCTGCTCGCCACATAAAAGATTCATCCCAGCTTTTTTCGGGAACACCACTGGGAGGGCGATACTCAATATGAATGCATTGATTGCACGAGTCTGAGGGAAAAGAAAGTTCTGTAAGATCAGGAATGTGGGAATTAAACATTTTCTAACAGAGGAGGTTGTCATCAGATTTGATGTGTGACTCAGATGAATAACCCATCTGTGAAAAACCAGGACTAACAGTGACATTGTGTATTTCTTAACCACTATAACCATTGTTCAATGTCTTCGTACTTAATTATTTTAAATACTTATGTTTGTTACTGCTAGAGCCTTAACTGCAGATGTCTAATGTTTGCAAAACAAGCTTCATTCTGCTGTGATAAATACACTGAGACTATACTTTGGACTAACTTACACGGGTTTGACCACTAGGGGGAGTTATGAAAGAGCTTAGAGAGGACTCCAAATGTGTCTCACAATCTTGGGCAGTGGTGTTTTGAACTGACAACAGTTTTTAGCTACGTAGAAGTAGGAGCTTGGTACTAGGCTGAAAGTAGGCGAAAAACTTCATCTAAAAATAGAACTTGTTTGATTTACCTTGCTGTTTACATGGCTGTTGGTCACCTTTAGTATTAGCGTCCTTAGGCTGTAAGACTTTGTTTTACGTACTAATAATCCTGAAAGTCACATGACCTGTCAGCCACCTGTTCCACCAATTATTCCCCTAACTGTGAAAATCCTCTTATTCTACTCATCTCTGTTGTACAGACAGTTCTTTCCAACACAGAAATAGCTGATTTGAAACATGGCTACCATGCACAGTACAACAGACACTAGGTGGCATTGTTTCATTTTCCTGGACTGCTGGGTGATTGCCATATTTTCCCACTGATAGTGGCTAAAAAAACACATCTTTGCTGTTTAATGACTTGATTTAACCCCCCTCCCTCCCCCCTCCTCCAGCTTTAACTACAGGTGCAAGCACGGCTTCAGCCAGACATCCAGATTCAAACAGCATCTCCTACTTGACAACTGACTGATGGATGAAAGGTCAAACGGCAGGTCTCTGGGACACCGCCCTGCTGGTCAGATGCCTTCACTCAGGTCAGTTTTCTGAAACTCTGTGCTCATAAAACTGACACATCTACATGCTGTAGTCCAGAGCAGCGAAACATTAGAACTAAACCCAGTGTCTAGAGTCACTGCCATCCAAAGTCCTGCCCCGCCATCTGGTAGAAGCGCTGGTTGTGTGGTTTGTAGAAATCCCTCAGTCTCTGCATCACCGCCGGGTCGATGGAGGCGTGCATCCTCCCTTTGGTCTTCCCCAGGCAGTGCGGTTTACTGCTGCCCTCTGGCTTCTTCAGGCAGGGGAAGCCTTTTGTCTTGTTGAAGTAGAAGTGTTTGTCCGTGACGATCCTCTGGAGGCCCAGAAAGTCCTGGACTTTTCCTACTTCTCCTGCGGGGTCAGAGATTAGCCTCTCACCGCTGACCAGGTGGATCTGAGTCCTGGGGAACCAGGTCAGCCAGCGCTCCAGGTGATGAGCGTACAGGCCAATCCAAAGTGGGCTCCAGAGAGAGTCGATCTGACCTGCAGGCAGAAAAAACTCTTGGTTTCCAGGATTTGACTGATAAGCTGTCAGGACAGTTTCAAAAACCTGTGACCAACAACCAAACTCTTACCTGTGGTGCGGTTCTTGAAGACCAAGCGTTCAAATGCAGGAATGTCCGGGGTCTTGGAGATGATCTGAGTGTAGTCAGATATGGCTCTGGTCACAGGGTCACGGACCACAACAATCAGCTTCACGTCCCTGGACATGGAGCGGACCCTCTGTGGTGTTTCCACCGTGACAAAGTACCGAGGCGTCTTCTCCATCACAATCTGTCCGTCCAGAGCTTTGGGCATCATGTTCCTGATCAGACATGGAGACACAGTGAGGTCTGGGTTCAAGACCACGCTGCAAAAAAACAAACTCAGGTTCTATACAACAGAACCTCCCATTGTGGAGCTGTTATTGGATCTTATCAAGATGGACGGGTTCTTAAATGGATCTGTACTGGATCAGGTCATCTATAGCTGTAGTGTTTCTTGGGGATATTTGACACATTTTAGTCATACTTAGTTTGCATTTNCGAACACAAACACAGAACAGGACTTTATTTGATCAGATCTGACGTAGCCTGAGGACTTCTCTTTAAACAACACCTCGAACATAAGGAGCCTTGCAGTCTGCTCTGAACACACACACACACGTGCAGTGTGTCGTACACTCATACACACACTGACACATATGGAGACACACACACAACCAAACACATGTCTCCAAACAAAAACATACACTCATTATTATCATTAGTCAGCCAAAAGCTATCATGGTCTCCCAGTGGGGCTGGTCTCACACACACACACACACACACACACACA